TATGGACGCATGCACCCGCATGCAGACACCGTGGGACAGGAAGTGCCAGCAATGACAGAGGAGTCAGCGCTGGATCGGACACCCGCCGCACTGCTAGAGGGACAGATGAAAACATCAGGAAAGAAGATCGGATTAAGAGACACCAGTTAAGGTAAGTGCTGATATTAACATTGGGTGGAGGGATAAAAAATGTTTACTTTAATGTCACTTTAACCACTTCCAGGCCGCAGTACGTCTATAGACGGCGGCCCGCAGAAGTGGTTAAAACAAGAACACGGCCGCTTCGACAGCCGTGCTCTTGGTACCGCTTTTAACAGCAGGAGATTGCTGTATGACTTACAAGCAATCGCCTGCTGAGGACTACAAATCTCAGCAGTACTTTATACAGAAATGCTATTGTTATGTAAAGTATTGCTGGGATGTGTAGTCCTCTATAGCCTGTGCCATTCTGCATTGCTGTAAATATTAGGGCTGCACCATATATTGGCTGCCAAAACATATTGGCCGAAAATGGCACTTTTGGCAAATGCCGAAAGTGCCATTTTTCTGCTGACACAGCGGTGCATCCGTGCTTTCTTTTCTCCCCGCTGGGCTCTGCCCTGTGTCCCAGCGGGGAGGAGAGAAAGTGACAGCCGGCCGAGCGCTGCGGAAGTAGTGTTTGGGGTTTTTTTTTTGGGGGGGGGGGGCAAAAAAAAATATTTCACCAGGGCCCTTTTTTCCTTTAGTCTGGCACTGTGTGGGAGCAGAGGGGAAGTGGGGAACAGTGGTAGCAGAGGGGAGATGTGGGAGTAGAGGGGATGTGGGGGACAGTGTGACTAGAGGGAAGATGACCGTCGGAATTGTGGTTTGGGTTTTTTTTTTTGGGGGGGGGGGGCAAAAAAAAATCTTGCACCAGGGCCCTTTGTTCCTTAGGTCCGCCACTGCTTATGTAGATTGTGTCCCTGTGTCCATGTGAAGGAATTTCCTAGCCATCACTTTGGTTTCTGTCTCACACACGTCAGATAGACAGGAAGTGAGAAGAAATCTTCCAAATGGGGCAAAGAGCAGAAAAAACAGAAAAATCAGATAATCCCTTTATGTAAATCATGTGACATTTAGGGTCCCTGTTCACATATGGAATCCAATCCAACAACACATTGAAATTTAGAATCCAGTATCATATTATGATGGTGGGGGGATGCTGTACTTGTGTCTCCTCATGAAGCGGAGGGGTTTTCCAAGCTCGGGAGAGGCTGAACCTGGCTGGGAGACGGCAGGGAGGATCCATGAACACTGTGGCCTGGAGTGAGGAAAAAAAGAGAACAGGTACTAGGGGAGGGGGCTTGTCTTTTATAGCTAGTTAAAGGTGGTCCTGTGGGGTCAGGGGGGAGGAGCTGACCCGTAGGTATGCCGACATGAGTTAAGCCAGGAAATATATATATATATACATATACTGTATACATATAGCCTATTTCTGGCCAAACCAAAAAAAACCTTCCAGTGGGGCTACCCCCACATTGCTAAGGTTACCTGATCATTTTTGCCTAGGAGACAGGAGTAAAGCATTTTTACTTACCTGTTCCTCACTCCCCCAGTGGTCGTCCTGCTCACCTCTCTCCCCTCCACTCCAGCTATTGTAACGTCCGTGGGTGTCCTCACATCTAATACTGTTCTCTGGAACCTCCATTCAATGTGATGACACCCACAAACAATTTCTAAAATACACTAAAAGGGCCCATTCACCCTATTTTCGTGCATTGCAATGCCATTCACTGTGAATGGCACCCCAATGTGCTGTACAGTAGAGTGCAACACATGATGCACCACAATCCACATAGACCTGTCAACTAACAAAATTTTGTAGGGGGCCCTGTGATTTCTAGTTATGCCCTTGCAGAGCCCACCTAATATTCCAAACAGCCCACTTGAGAGTGACCCTGCAGAGCCCCCCATAGACTCTATGGTTGGGCTCTGCAGGGTCTCAGGTGAGCTGCACACCTCTTAACTGTCAGCCCCGATCCGCTGTCCGCCTCCATGATCACTGGCAGGCCCCGCCTCCTCCGTAGCCGGGCCCCGCCTCCTCTTCAGTTGTCGGGCCCGCCTCATCCTCCGCTTCTGACGCCAGGCCCAGCCTTCCTCCTCCACAGCGGCTGGTGGTCACTGACTCAGCAGCAGCTGTGAGGAGGAAAGCGCCGCTGCACAGATCACTGGCAGGTTGTCGGTGATCTAACAGCGACACGTTCCTCCTCACACCCGCCAGTGACACCCAGCAGCCTGAGATGCCATAGCAACCCAGGCGGCCCTCACGGCATCAGGGGGATGTCCTGGCCGCGCCCCCCTGTGCCCCGGGCCCCATAACGGCCACCTCGGTCGCTATGGCGATTGTTTTACGCCTGTGGCGTGTTGCTTTATGAAAAAAAGCTATTTTTTTAAAATTAGCGTATGTTGGCAGCCCATTCATAATGAATGAGATGCCTTAGAGCATGGGTCCCCAACCCCCCGGACCGGTAACGGTCAATGACCTGCTAAGTACTGGGCCGCAGCCACCTCTACCTCCTGTCAGATCACTCTGCCAATCCATAGTGCAACGGTGAAGTGATCTCTTTGGTTCTGATGTCAGAGTGGGAGACGGTGAATGCGTGAGGAAGCCTGCTGCTGTAAAGTTCACTGTGCCCCACCTCCTTGACCTCCCCCTGCTCCAGTGAGATCTATGCTGGAAGATGAGAATGAAATTTTCTGTTGTCTCTTCATTGATTTATCAGTGCGGTCAGTGCAGGGCAATGTGTGTTCACCTACTGCAGACAGGAGATGTGACATAAACATTAGAACGGGCTCAGTCCTCATACAGAAACATGCAGGCTGAGCAAGTTCTGAGCAAGTTTGCTATTTGTCAGATTTGCAGGAGGAGGTGGTGGTGGGGTTTGGATAAGTATTTAAACTCAATCCTCGCCACTAAAACACCCATCCCGTCCCCCCTGAATCTTATGGGGGTAATAAGACAAATCTATAGTGATCATTTTAAAAAAAATTGAGAGTTCTGAAAAGAACGTCCAAACTCTAAAGGCCTGAGATAGATGATAGCACTCCATCAGTAACCACACTAACTTGAAATACAACTTTGTGTGCCGTTAGTCTTCAAACCCAACTAATATTGACTATGTGGGAGTCCAACGTGCTTTTCTTTTCTTTTTAAGGAGATCAGATGTACTATTGGTAACACCTTGGCTTGCCCCAATTGTATGGAATGGAGTGTTTAACAGGGACATACTGAATGCACAGTTCCATCACATAGATGTCCACATTGGGCTTACTGCGTTTGCCATTAAAAAGTAAGTTTACTATTATGCTTTTTAATATCCTGTGTGGATAGATAGATAGATAGATAGATAGATAGATAGATAGATAGATAGATAGATAGATAGATAGATAGATAGATAGATATCCTTTTTAAAGTCACTCTGTAGCAATTCAAACAATAAGAAACTCCCTACAAAAGATGAATGTTTAAGTTAACACTCACCTATGCTGCTCCTGTTCGTGGAGTCTTCACTTTTTGTAAGAGCTATGACCTCCAGCTGAATCTTCAACATTTCCAAAAGTGTTGGCACCCTGTGTCCCCTTCTGTGCACTAAGGGTCCATCTTCTGGTCCTTACATCACTACAGGACAAAGTAGTGAAATAGGGGAAGGTGGGTGGATACATAGCGCACAGTTGGGGGTCCAGGCTTTTGATGCTCGTACCTCTTGAAGTTCGTGAAGATTCTATGACATGTCATCCTGAACCAGGTCTATCTAATAATATTATAGAATGTTTTAAAGGTGTCATATTTAAAAGATTAGTGCTGAGCATTTTTGCAATGTATTAACACAGGCTCACCGACATCAACAGGTTGTGAATTTCCAATAAATTTAAAGTATTATTATTATTATTATTATACAGGATGTATATAGCGCCAACAGTTTGCGCAGCACTTTACAATATAAGGAAGACATTACAATCACAATACAATTCAAGACAAGATGGTAAGGAGGGCCCTGTAGTGTAAAGTAGTGAATAGCCCCATGCATGAAGATTTTTAAACAAGGTCTTGCAATGATACTACATTTAAAAATGCTGTGTACAGGAAGAGGGCCACTCAGGATAAATGCACTACCTGTGCACCAATTCTTTTTTTACTTTTCAAAATATTTTATTGGTTTTTAACATTTTCAAATGAAAAGAATGTAACATTGAAATGAAAGTATACATATACATACATTTATGACATATACGTGTACATCAAACAGCATATCAGGGTTCAACTGACAATCTTGGGGCAGACACCGAGAGAACAGATCGGTGAATATGCAAAAATACACATATAGCTTCTTTAGGTATCCTGTCTGAAGAACACGTGCACCAATTCTTTAATGGGTCAGACTACCATACAACTATATTTCTTTATTATCCATTTAGAGACCCAGGAATATAGTAATTCTTTGACATTTGTTTTATACTGCCGCTGTCAGGAGATAAGAGTTTGGACACTGGCAAGCAAGCAAGCCGCTGTATAACCCCACCTCCCACCATAATGGCTGAATTATTTTGATAGTGTCCTAGGAGGATGAACACTGTAACTTTAATCAAAACTTTAGGTTTTTCTTCAGTTCTTCCAGATCTAAACGTCAGGTTATTTCCTAGTCCAGAGCCATGGCTCAGACTCATGTGACCCAGTCTCTAAAGACTCATTTGGGAGTAAAGCTATCCGGCCTCAGCTAAATGGGCATTTGGAAGCCATATCTTGACTCCACAACACTCTAAGATCACAAAGCTTGTCTGGACTGTGACCTTTGAGCAAGTCCCAGACCTTAATGTGGTTTGTTAGTTAGCTACAGAGCACTCTCTAAGTCTGGAGCCATGGTGCAGCCTCTGGTGTGATTCAGTCTGTGTGCTCAGATATTGAGTAAGGCTGACCAGGTTCAAAGACTTTGAAGCTAGCTCACAATAAAATATCTACCACCATCTTACAGCGATGACGGTTAAGGCTGAGAGAACTGTGTGTGGAATCACCTACTAGGTGGAGTGTAGTGCGCAAGCACTCAACATTTGTTCTCCAGAAATAAGCCATCTTTCCCTTTGCTCCTGTTTTGATGATGGAGTCTCCAACCACCAAGAACTGCCTCTCCTGCCACTCCATCCTGCTCCCATCCATGCTGGAGCAGTTACTCCCCCTGCGGATAGAGGAGGCGTCCTGCCCCAGCAGTGTCGCCCCTGAACTAATATTCCAAACATCCTGCAACTTGGCATATTTGTTGGGGTTAATCAGATCAGGGCTGACCTCTCTCGCACTCTTCCCTCTACCCCTCCTTCTAACGGTGACTCAACTACCCACCTCAGGATCATGCACCTCCAACCCCCCCTCCTCATCTATGCCCCCCTCCAACAGAGCCTGGTGCGTTAGGTCCAGACTCCTTTCCATGTTGGATATGCTCCTTAGTGTTAACAGTTTGTTGCTTAGATCCAGCATCTGGGCTTCCAAACAAACAACTCGTTCACATCTAGCGCAAATGTATTCGCTCTCGAACGCATGTTCAAGGAACGCATACATTGAGCACGAAGTGCACTTGGTAGCATACCCACTCATGGAAGACATATTTCATCGTCCCTAAATATTTATGTTATTTATATATCCTTTTTTTCCCTTTTATTTAGGCCTAATCGCTCTCAAGTGACTATCTCGCTACCCTTAATTATTTTAATACCTATGCCCACGTTAAAATTATTTTATTTTTTATTAGGGCTGCAGCTAACGATTATTTTCATAATCGATTAGTTAGCCGATTATTAAGTTCGATTAATCGACTAATCGGATTTAAAAAAAAAAAAAGGGTTCAGTGATGGACTACTAGTTTCTATTGAGATTGTAGTCCATCACGGGAGCAAGCTTGGCGCGGTGGAAGTAAAAAAAAGAGTGTGGTGTGCAATATAGTACATTATACAGCGGTGCAGTGCAGAATACCAGCAGCTATAGAGGAATGTAGCAATAGTACTATACTATAATGTACTATGGCTGGGATTTGTAGTCCTCTGTAGCTGGGGTTATTCTGCATTGCACTGTATATAATGTACTATGGCTGGGATTTGTAGTCCTCTATAGCTGGTGGCATTCTGCAGTGCGCTGTATAATGATTATACGGCGAAATGCAGAATACCAGCAGCTATATAGGAATACAACAAATGCCAGCAACAGTACAACATTATACTATAATGTACTATTGCTGGGATTTGTAGTCCTCCATAGCTGGTGGTATTCTCCATTGATGTAAGTCGCGGCGGCGGCGTGCTCTGCGGGCGTGTGTCCGGCGGCCGTGTGCGCGGTGGGCATGGTGTCCACAGCGTGCATAGCGTAACTCGTGTATGGAGCTGCGAACAGGCGGGCGTGAGCGGCGAGCGGGAAATTAAAATTTTAGCCGACGAATCGACGATGGAAAACGCTGACAATGTTTACCATCGTCGATTATTATCGATTTAATCTAATAATTGTTGCAGCTCTACAGAATACCAGCGGCACACTGCTGAACACCAGCAGCTATAGAGGAACAACAAATCCCAGCAATAATACATTATACAAGCTGTTTAATGTATTATTGCAGGGATTTGGTGTTCCTCTATAGCTACTAATGTTCTGCAGTTTCTGAATGAATGGGAAGCCTCTGTACTGAGAGCTCTCCATTCACTGCAGAAAAATTAATTGAGGACTCTGTGTCCTCAATTTATTTTTCTATTTCAAAAGGGAAATGTCAGGGGTCTGTTTAGATCACTAATATTTCCCCGAAGCCACCCCAGCAGTAAAAAATAAAATAATAATAAATAAAAAATGTTTAAAAAAAACGGGGGGGAAAAGCACAAACCCCCTCCCCCCACATACATAACATACCTGTGCACCATATTGTGCTGCAGTGCATTGTTAGAACGCATCCCAGTGCATGATTTTTTTCTTTTGTAAGAAAACATTAATTTCACTGTGGCAGTGCATGGCAAAGCTTTGTGATGCATTGCCATGTGTTGTGATACCTTGTGTTGCGATTAAATGGCAACACAAGGTTGGGGGGGGTGGGGTTCATCATGGTTGGGGGGTGGCCCTGGGACTTCTAGTTACGCCCCTGTTTTGATCAAATGTCTGGATCATTGCTATTCAGCTGTGATAGGTGTAATGTCTGTTCAGATGTGTAAGGCACTTTGGAACACCGAGGATGCACTAAAAGAACATTCAATTTACTCCGACACAGATGCAGACCGTGTAGCTGCTCCTACAAGTCAGGTATGCGGTCCGTGACCGCATAACTGACTTGTCAGCTGGCTGCGGGCCGCAATTGGCCCACGGGCCAGTACTTTGAGACCACTGCTCTAAAGATTTGGATCAGGTATCTTCTTCTCTGCCCCTTTTGGCATTCTGCTTACCCTTGTGCATTTTTCCAGAATTAGGTGAGTTCTCTGCTCCTAATGATTCCTACTTGAGTAAAAAAAGATTCTTAAGAATGTTATCCCATTTAATCACACATTTCTCTCTGCAAGGGTCACCTTTTTATTTTAAGCTGATTTGTACCACTTGTGATGCTTAATTCATTTTAAGCACTATCCCTTACAGGGGTTTCAGGTATTGCTACTTTGACAGAGATTCGTTTCCACTATTCCCTTGCCTGTGTAAGCATGACCCAGTGTACTCTTGCAATTTTTAAACTCTACCCATGGCACCAACTAGTTTGTTCACTCTGGTGCCCCTCTCCCAGCTTCGCCATTCTGGAAAGCATAGGAGACCACTGCTGAAAAGAGTTAAGGCGCCCACACACCTTGCGATAATCGCGGGAAATCCCGCGATCGTACGATTATCGTAAGGTTTGTGGAAGCCGTGCGACCTCTACTACTGTAAGTTCGCACGACTTTTATCTTACGAACGGTGTGTAGCATGTTTGTAAGATAAAAGCCGGACGGGCCGGTGTGCGCAAGCCCGTTCGGCATTGCGGTCATCGGAAGCCCGCCCCTCAGCGGGGCGGGCTTGCGATCATCGCAAGTACAATCAGCCTGTCTAAGATGGGCAGATCGTATGTTTTTTTAATTACCTTACAACCATCGCAAGACACTGGTCCCGACAAAAGTCTTGCGATGGTTGTAAGGTGTCTGCCCAGCCTTAGTGTACTGAACTTTTACAGTCCTGCTGAGCCTTGGAAGGTATTGTCTACACTCTTAGACTATAGGAGATCCATTTCCTTTTACCTTTCTAAGTAATTGTTGGATTCTGGGGGAATTTCTTTGGTCCCATAGCCCCCCTTTTAGTGATCTCCCGAGTCTCGTTCAACAGTTTCCCAAATAGGACTGATGTTTCTGTTGGTCATTTTCTTTAATTTAAAGAACAGCTTTGGGAAAAATGTTTTTATTAATCTTGGTAGTGGGGCTACCCCATCATTGCAAGGTTTAACTGCTTATTTTCATCTATGGACTAAAATTAAAAAAAGTTATACTCACCCAATCCCCCAAGCTGGGTTGTTGTTAGATTGGTCCTTTCTGTGTCTCTCCCCCTCCGCTGCAGTGGTCAAAGGTCCCTGAGTCATCGCATTCTATACAGGATATATAGAACATGAGGATGCCAAGGGACATACTATCACTGCAGTGTAGAAGGGGAGAGGCTGATCTCTGTAAGATCAGCAGACAGGACATCCGTTACCCTGTTGCAGACCTCCCCTTTCTGACATATTAAGATTGCATGCTTCTGTGGAACCCATTTTTTGGAAGATACGGTAGGTTCTCTTCCTACCCTCTAGTGGCCTATTTGTGTATAGTAGTGATTACAAACTCTTAGTTCCTGTGAGGAAAAATGTTACCTCTTCCAGGACTCAGTTTTATTTGTTTTTCAAACTGACTATACTATATACTGACTATCACACCCCTGACACACCTTGTGTATGAGTTGGAATGTCTCCTTCTGATTTTCTAGTCCAGATATCCCTGTAAGCTTATTGCATTACAATATGTCCTCCTACCTGCCTACCATTTTATATAGGTTCTGCGGAGCACCCACACCTTCTTTTGAAGGGTTTTAACATTTATACTTTTTTTTTTTTTCTTTTTTTTTTAACCTTCTGGTTTTTCTCTATCTTTATTTTTGCTGCTGAGACGGCTTTCATTTCTTTGCATACAGTATCTCTGAGAGATTTCTTCTCTATCAGTTAAATTGTTCATGTTATGAGCTTCCCTTTCACAGAACGCAATGGCTAAGGTGTCCACTTAAGCCTCTGTTAGCTGGATAGTCTTTGTGCTTTGACATACCTTGTTTAACCTAGCTTCCCTTTCCATAAAGTCAAGGGTTAAGGGTGTTCCACCACAACCAGGGGCCACGGCAGACCCCCCACAACCAGGGTTATTTCTGCTGTTTCTCTTCTTGGGAATACGTTGTTTTCCTTCAAATTATTAGCTGAATTCATCATCCCTTCGGATAGCAGTTTGCCCTGATTTCCTGCACTGGTCTGCAACACTAGGTTGATCCTCTGGGGCCTTCCCTATGACATACCCATTTCTATATTTGATTGCTTTGGATTTATCCATTTGAATCTCTCAGTCCAACTGCTTTTGTACATCCCAAATGTCTAAGAATAACTGCATTCCTGTGTCCTTCAACAGATGATAAAAAAAAAAAAGATTTTTGTAGTAATTGTAAAATGTTTTTTTGAAGTCCATTGAGGAACACACCCTCTGTGTTATTAGTATTATGTACTACTTGCTCACAAAACTGAGGAATGACGGTTGGAGGCAGGGTTATACTTTGGCTCGCTTAACACTTTTAGTTTGCCAATGTGTAAGCCTCCTGAAGGTGGCAGAATAACCCAAATGTCTAAGAATTACTACCAAAAGATTTTACAGGATCGACAAAAATCTTATTTTCAGTTATAAACACAAAAGGGAGGGTAGATACCCCTTGTTCTAGTCCTGTCTGGTGTACAGACCCTGGAACTCAAATGTAGAGATCTGACTAATGTATTATTTATAATAATAAATACATTACTGTAAATTTTTTGTTTTCACCTCTTTCAGATATGTTCTGTTCCTCAAAACATTTATTGAGTCAGCTGAAAAGTTCTTTATGGTCAGACATAAGGTCACCTATTACATCTTCACTGACCATGACAATATTTCTAATTTCACTTTGGCTGATGGTCGAAAGCTGGTCATCCTGAAAGTGCCTGCCTATGAAAGGTGGCAGGATGTTACCATGGGACGTATGGAGATGATCCGAGACCAAGCAATTAAGAAGTTCAGCAAAGAGGTAGACTACTTGGTGTGCGTTGACGTAGATATGATCTTCTTGGAGGAGGTTGGGGTGGAGATCCTAAGTGATATCTTTGGAACCTTACATCCTGGCTTTTTTGGAGCTTTACAGAGTGAATTTACTTATGAACGCAGGGCAGAGTCAGCTGCCTACATTCCATTTGATGCTGGTGACTTTTATTACGCTGGAGGAAATTTTGGTGGTGTCATTGAAGAGGTCATCAGACTCACCAACTTCTGCCACAATGCCATGCTGGAGGACAAACAGAAAAACATTGAGGCACTTTGGCATGATGAAAGCTACTTAAATAAATACTTTCTATCTTACAAGCCAACTAAAGTCCTCTCCCCAGAATATATTTGGAACAATTATTACGGATCTCCAAATGCCATGCCTTTTGGTTTTAACTCCTGGCCAGGTAGCAGGTCTTTTTGCCCTTTCATGGGTGGCTGTCTATAGTGAATAGTCAGGCAAAGAACAAAAAGTACTAATTCATAGAAGCATACTGCTGCATTATCCATATGATTCCAAAGTAACTTTAAATCATTGTGATCATATATGGCAAAACAGCAATGTACTCAGAGCTGCATTTACATCTCAGAAGCCCATCGGCACAGAAAATGTATGCACTACAAACTCCAGGTTCCTCGTTAAACCACACCCTGCTGACCTGACAAAAAAAGAGAGATAAACATATACTGGAATAACAAATAAGACTGCTTTTCGGTAGCAGTTTTGGATACATATATTTTGTTTCCTAGGTTCTAGTGTAAGTCCCAGATCATTGTCCTGGAATAAAAATGGCTTCGGGATTAAAGAAAGCAGAGGACTAGAGGCTATTCCCATAGCTAAACCGAGACAAAAATGTTCTCTTTAGCTTAGGTACATAAATGTACCAACACCCATCCAAACTACACCCTCTGCTCCAAGAGCTGAAGGTTTCCTTATTCTTCATCCTTTATATGTACTAAAGACGGGGTCCAGGAACAGGACCTGTAAGACAATATGTATCAAAGGTACAAGTAATTCCCTGTGTTCTCCTTGTTGCATATGAAAGGCCTTAGATGTAGAAAAAAGGTGTCAAGATACAGTATATGGCATATCATTGGCCACAAACCATTCTGTGCTGCATTATGGCAACCCCATCAGTGCTGACAGCTTTTGACTCCAAACAATCACATGCCAATAACAGTAAACAAAAGCAACTGTGTGGACTGGCTCAGAATCCCTGTTAGGTTTTTATTGCTGTTAGTGAGATGCTCCCCCTCCATTTGTCCTAGTAATCATTGTCACCAGGACAAAAGGTGATAGAAAATCCTAAATTTTACAGATGTTACCAGAGCAAGAATAGAGTGGAAAACATCCAATGGGACATATGTTCCAGTGACAAATGTCTAAGACGGTCATTTCTCTCACTTTGGACAGAATTCTTCTCACTGTTGTGTCTCTGGTGCAGGAGGTGAAAGGAAATCTCCCCAATAAGACAAAGAAAGAAAGCAACCAAAAAACCTGATGGGTTCTAACTAATCCTTTCTATGCCCAACACTCACAAAAATAGCTTTGGCTATATTTGCCACATGCAGCTCTTATTGTGCAGGCCTCGGACCACAGCATTCAGTAGTAGAAGTAGGAACAAGTAACGGGGCTGTAATTACCATGATCTCTACCACTCTTCTTTCTCTGACTGTCTCCTGCAACATATTTTCAGCCTCCAATTATACCAGTAGAATGCCTGCAGTCTCTGACTGTTTTTTGTTCAGCCCCATACTGATGTCGGTGAAGCTAAGGATCCAAAATTCTGCAAGAATGCACTCCGAAGCAGTGCTGTAGTAAGATCTGGCATCTTCATCTTTCCCAGAATCCAATGGTGGGACCCAGTGACCTAACTGGTGCTTAAAGCAAGTGGCTGATAGTGGCTTTCATGGAAGGTATGCTTTAGTTAAAGCTGACCTCCAGGCAGATATAAAATGTACAGATCAAAAACATTTTTATATTTATTAATACATCATTACATTTATTTTTCACAGTCACAGGATGGGGTAAGAACAATACCTGTAACGTTACTTAAAATCAGATCTCCTGCTGTGCCAGACAGGACTGTATCAGGGACAGAAAACAGATTTAAAGATGAAAAATTGGGGCTGCTTGATTGAAAAAATCATTAAACTTTATTATGGACTCTGATATCTGTTTTGGTCTTGTGCTCTTCTGTTTTCTGTCCCTGCGTTGCTTTCAGTATCAAATTTTGGAGACTGTGGTACTTTGAGCTGCCTAACCATAAGCTGGTAGGCAAATCAGCTCTCTTGCATGTATCAGTTTCCCGGCATTGATGTGCCTTGCTTTCCCGTGCGTCTGATCGCATTGCGGCCGGAGGGTATGGCTGTGGTGCCATTCACTTCAATGGACCACCACGCCCCCTCCCGTCCCACCACAAACTGAGCCAACCCCAATACGATCCAGTGCGTTCCGGCCACAATCGAGCCAGAACGCACTGTGTCTGGTGTGAAAGGGCCCTTATACAAGTTCAAAGGTGAACAGGTGTGAACTTTCATTAATAATGTAAGGATCATTAGCATCACCTGCCAACCACTATCAAGAACAATATCAACATAAACAAATAAGGAAGTATAAGAAATCAATCACATGAGAGGTACATCTCTGCTTGTGTCATAATTCCAGTTTTTTCCTGAGTTCCTAATATAAAAAAGACAAAACAAAATGGAAATACTGTATATGTCCAAAGCCTAAAGTTCCTACTGTACATACTTTATGTTCAACCCATTAGGATGCAAGGTTGATGGTTTTTGAAAACGAATTTTTTTCTCTCTGCACATCACCCAACACATCAAAAAACAAATCAGAAATCAGAGCGCCGGCAGCAAAATGTCTACAGACAGGTAATGTCGACTGTCGCTGACATATGAAGTACCAACCAGGGGCAGACTGACCATAAGGGGAGTCGGGCACTGAAGTGCAGGTAAAAGAGGTAGATGCACACAGGGGGTGTGCGGTAAGAAAGAATCCAACACAGCTACAGGGAGGAGCCCAGAAGTAAATGGGTGACTGCGGAACGCAAGGAAGATACACTGGAAGCTAAGTAACGAATTACGGTATGCAAGAGAAAGTTAGGCTGAAGTATGAGAAAGCAAGTAAATAAGAGGAAGCAAACACACAATGGCTGGAGTGGGAAAACACAGAGGTAGTTAGGCAGAGGAGGCAGTATAAAGAGACTCACAGCACACTGGTGAAAGCAATAAAGGTATGCAGCAATATTCAAAGGTAGATACTGGAGTAGGCTAAAGCAGGGGCAAGAAGAGCAAAGCAGGGGATAATGTCAAACAGGGATAGCAGCTGGATATAAGGAAGCCAAAACCGCAGGGGAAGAAGATCACAGGGATCGTAAGAGAAATAAGGGGCATAAAACAAGGCAGAAGACTTGTTGCTCGTACGAAGAGCAACAAGTGAGGTAGTCCTAAATAGGGAAGGAGGAGTGCAGATTGGCTGCAGCCTTGTGAAACACCATAGGCTGACAGCCCAGAATCAGGGAGCAAAGGGAAAATCCGGCACAGTTTTCCAGATATTGTGACAGTTGCAGAGTCATGGATCTGATCTTTTCCCATCTTTTGGAGGGACATTTATGAATAATACTGAGAGCAAGTTTGATTTTTGGTGGTGTTGCCAGAAGTCTTTAGGGGGTGGTGGCACTTTACCGATAATGTCTTTACGATGTAGTGGGGCAGCACTGGATCACTTACCAACTTCAACAGCAGACTTGAACATGGCGGTTTAATCGGTAGTTAGGAGCTGATTGCTAAGGCTTTTCGAGAAACTAAGTGAGAATAGTAGGGGGAGGAGATGTCTAGGTGAGATACTGGGCAGATTTTGGTAACAGTTACCCAGATGTTTGCTAAAGGCTTAATGTGATGGGGAGAAAATGAACTTAGATCTACAACTCATGCTATCACCCTGGAGGAGAATCCCATTTATTTGCCAATACTACACACACAGCCATAAGATTATTTCCAATATTCAGAAGACATAACGTTTAAGAAGCATATTGGCTAGAATCATGACACAAGCAGTGACGTGCCTCTCACGTGAATTACTTATTTTGATTGATCTCATATACTTTCTCTGAACCTTAATCGTTTATTTTGGTTTTGTTGCTAATAGTGTTTGCTAGGTGATACTTTTATGACATCTTTGCTTTATTGAAACATAAATAGTAACAAAAGTACACACATGTTCTCCTTTGAACTTGAGGAAGTGCGGGGATGCTGAAAATAGTTGTTCCCACCTCCTTATCTATATAATGTATGCATTGCTGTGCAAATAAAGTCACCTTTTAAATCTGCAAGTCGGTTGGGCAACATTTAATTGTAACATGTAGATAAGATTCTTTGGTGATTGGAGCCCACTTGATTCAAGGACCTACTCAAGGCTGTCTTATCACACATGAGGGTCACCCAGCTGGTATTGAATACATAGTATAAACCTACATAATATATATAAAATCAAAACAGATGATCAAAGTGTATCTAAAGCCATTTTTTTTCTGAGGGATAAGGAAGGAATAGAATTACTCTCAGGTTTTTATTGCGGCCTCGAGGGAGATTGATCCTATCCTTCCTCAACAGGATAGAAATTGATGAGTAATCCAAAATTATACAACTGTCACTGGGACAGGAGGTAAGGAAAAATCTTTCAATGTCAACTGTTCTGGTGGAAACTGTCTACAATGGAGTTCCTAAAACACTGGAGAGATTTCCTGTGTTATCTCTGGAACAAGAAGTGAGGGAAAATCTCCTCAGTGTGACAGAGACAGATAAAAAAAAGCCTAATGAGATTTAAGCATCTCCTACTCCAGGGATGTCCAAACTCCAGCCCTCCAGCTGTGGTGAAACTACAAATCCCATGAAGCATCTCTCTCCGGGAGTCATGTCTGTGGCTGTGAGAATCTTGCAAAGCCTCATGGGATTCGTAGTTCCACCACAGCTGGAGGGCCGCATTTTGGACATCCCTGTCCTACTCTATCCAAAACTAATTTTAAACAATTTTGTTTTATATATATATAGTTTACAAGTGTTTAAATAATATGTAGTAGAAGTGGCTAGGAGTGCATAATACAATGTATACAGAATGATGGTGTATAAATTAGCCTATAAAACAAATTTCATGCACAATGCAACTACTGCATCCTATATTACAAAGCCAGGTGCCACCGGTATAGAATGATATCTTGATAGGGCAGATGAATATAACAGACTTAACACTCTCTGATGTGTACTCATGTAGTTCTAACTAAACCGGACTACTCTGACAATTTTTGTTTTTGCAATTTACTTTTGTTATATGCTTTTTGTACTCTAATTACTTATTATAAAAATTATTTGTTGGAGGTGGTCATATGCAGATATG